AAAAGGCAGATTCAACGGTTGAGATTGGGTCTCACGTCCACATTTTAAGAGGGGGACCTATTGGAACCATCCCCTATATATATATATAATCTTACATCAAATTGTTCATATTCAGCGCACAAACTTCGATGAAGAGGATTTGTTCCCACGTATGAGTCAAGACTTTGATCAGCAAATATCCATATATGTATGTGAGTGAATGTTATCCAATTGTCAGAAATTTGATGTGACTTATAGGATTATATTTTGAGGTATACTGAGTCAAGTCGAATTGAGTTTTTTACGGAATTTCGGCTCAGACTCGTTTGAACCCAAATTGTTCGCGAATTTGATTTCTTTATTCACGAACATATGAATCATTTTATTAGTTCAAAACATGCACAAAAAAAGTGAATTATTCGCAAATAAGTTTGGTTCAGTTCGACTCGACTCGTTTAAATATTCGAGTTTAACTCGCTCAAGTAAATAAACAAACTAATCTCTGAATGAGCCAAATCGAATTGTGTTTGTTAAATAGTTTTATTTGAGTTTAACTCACTCAAGTAAATAAACAAACTAATCTCTGAATGAGCCAAATCGAATTGTGTTTGTTAAATAGTTCAATTCAAATAATAGCTCTTCTAATCAAATTAGCCCGTAATGAGTAGTAATTAAGTACAGAACCTCCCAACAGCTTTTGGTGACGACAATATTGCTCTTCACTAAAGTTGGAAGCTTCATCCATATCTTTTCTGTATGCACCGCCATTTTATATTCACTTTTACCTTTTTCCATTCTTCATATCTTTTGCGCCCTCTCTCTCATCAAATAAATTTATAGGCCCTTCGAAGTTCTAACCCGGCCGTTCCATTTTCTAGTCTATGTTTTATTTGAGAACATATTTGCTTCTGTATTTGGTATTTTTATAAGACTTGATGGTTTACATAAGGCTAAATTATAAAATATAGTCAGTATCTTGTACGCAATGGCAATAATAGCCACTATCTTTACGAATTGGCAATATTAGCCAACAACTTTCAAAAATTCGAGATTATTACCAAAATCCAACCAAATTCGACAGATAAATTGCAACATATAGTCAATATCTTTTTACGCAGTGGATAGGGCTGCAAACGAGCCGAGCCGAGTCGAGCATTGGCCTTATCGAACATGATTGATTTTTTTTTTTTAGTTGCTCGAGCTCGATTTTTTAGGCTCAAGCTCGACTCGATAAAAAATTATAATGAGCTCGAGCTCGACTCGAAATCAAAATGCTCGAGCTCGGCTCGAGTTCGGCTCGAAAATTATTAAGTGGAAATGTAAAATTATCATTAAATACCTATGGTAATATATATATATATATATATATAAAAGGTACTTTAGTAATTTAACTTGTATCTCGAGCCGCTCGACCTGGCAAAATGTGGGCTCGAGCTCGACTCGAGTTCGGTCAAACTTGAGCTGGAGTCGAGCTTTGACTCGAGCTCGAGTCGAGCTTTGACTCGAGCGCTCGCGAGCCGCTCGATTCGTTTGCAGCCCTAGCAGTGGTAATAATAGCCATCGAATTTGGTCGAACACGAGTTATAATCCCAAAATTTTGAAAGTTGTTGGCTAATATTGCCAATTTGTAAAAATGGTGGCTAATATTACCACCATGTACAAGATACTGACTATATTTTGCAATTAAACCGTTTACGTAATATACTTAATTGAAAGTTTAGTATATATATCATTCGACAGAAAAATCATTATACGATTGTGACAGAAGTTTAGCATATTACATACGATTGATATCATAGAGAAAGATCATAAAATAGCATGTGGCACTAAAACTATTTTAATATGCCAAAACGGTGAGTATGCAAATGTTTTCGAGGTCTTTGTGCAATCAACCTATATTCACCATTAATTTATCATGGAATTTAATTTTGTAGAAAAGTAATCTTACTATTCTGTTGAAAATTTTCAAAATTTATGTTAACTAAGGTACAAGTCGCAATATTAAAAATTTCATTGCTGGGGCCAATTGATAGAGGATGATAAAGGAATACGTAAATGGTAAAGGAGGATAAAGGTTGGATACTATTTGTCCGCGCGCTTTTTCCAACCCAAACCCTTGCAATATATATGCATGTTCACTGTATTCTCTTTCTTTTTCTTCTTTTNAATATATTGTAAAGTTGTGGAGAGAGACGGATATGTTAATTAAAATTAAGATTAACTTGACTGGAAAAAGGGTAAAAGATCAACAAACAATATTTCAACTAACATAAGTATAAATCCAATTTAATAATCTAATTAATAATTTAATTAAATATAAATTCAATTTAACTTAATTAATTATTTTTTAATTAATAATTTAATTAAGTGTAAATTCAATTTAACTTAATTAAATATTTTCCATCAAATAGAAAATAATCTCATTACTCAAAAATAAATATTTCAATCCAATTGAATATTTAACACTCTCAATTCACTCTTAGCCGGAAAACTGATTGCTTATTGTGTGACCCTATAGGCCTTCATATATTGACATAAATCTAATTTATGATCTTTACGAAACTCCTAGACTGCGTCGAAGGGCGAACTCAAAATATGAAGTATGTTTACATGGACAAGCAAACAAACCTTTCGTGTAGAACTCAATAGTGATACAGTCCCTTCATTCACGAACCACTCGATTAAGCTTAGGATTTGAACGTGTGTCTATCCAAACAGCTTAATCATTTTATCTCATCTCACTGGTTGATTTTATCAATTATATTTGAACACTATTTCAAATATAATCACGTGCATTGGCCAATGACTTTATCAACCCAGTATAGAGAAAACGAGTGTTCTATCGAAACTATATTCGAGGAATGAATCCTATCTTGGCTCAACTACCAATTCCATGTATATTGTGACCAACCCAACACAAGCCCGTATCTACCCATAAGGGCGTAAGATTTGGACTAGGTCTAAGTTAATCACTCTATACATGAATTGCGTATTGACCTCAAGTCAAAGGACTATTACACCATTCCACACACCGATACTCCCATAGACACATAAACAAATGGTTTATCGGTAGGGTATACCAATACTCTCCAAAGTATCCATGTGTCCATCACGAATAACAATTATTCATAGCAGTGAGACATACTATATTCTCCAAGAATGTGATGCAGACCACATGTCAATCTATCGCGTATCATTAATATCCCTTTCTTAATAATCATCGATTGAGGCGATTTGAGAGTTATACTTTATCAATTAATATCTCACTCTGTTAATGACAGTATTAGTTCAAGGGAACAATTAATTAATAAATTACAAACAATGAAACAATTATTTAATTAATTGCAATACCATAATTATAATCCAATATAATTATTAATGTGATCATGTATATATGTCCTAAAAAAGATTGTCTCTAGGACACATATATCAACACTTAAAGTTAAGAGCAACTAAGTACAGAAAGCACTTAATCATTATTAGTTTACAGAGCTAATGGTTCTGTAAAGAAACGAAAAGGACATGAAGCCCTAGAAGTTTGACAGGTAACTAAATTTTAGTTTAGGACTCTATCTACCAAAATAACTAATAACTAAGCCACAAAGTACGCAATATTCCTTTAATTTAAAACTCCCTCTTTTTCTTTTCAAAACAAAATTACAGCTTTTCCTTAAGCAATTCAATTATACTGGAGAAGCAAAATAAAAGTATTTCGTTCACACTTTTTTTAACCAAATTTTGACGGTTTAATTTTCATTAATATCTATGTATTTATATTTTCAAATTTATATTCATTTAGTAAATACGTATAATTTCATTTTCAAACTTCATACTTTAAAAATTAACTTAAACAAAAATATGACATATTTCACAATATAAATATGCATTTTTGATAAAAATGATGTCCCTAGAATTTGGGTCCTAAACATAAAATACGTATGGAGAAGAAGACATTAACAAGAATCTCTGTCAATTAATGCATGCATGCACATTAATCAGTAACACAATGCTAACAAAAATCTAATGAATTAAAAACCATGCTAAGATCAATTATACCGATCCACAACAAAGTATTCCATATCCATAATAAAAAGAAAAAGAAAAATGTGATTGAAAATTTTCCAACATAGTAAATATATTCATAAAGTTAACATAATCACCCGAAAGTCGAGCTCCTCCCTTGCGGCATGCTGATAGCCGTCCGACGAGGAGAAACAACAAACTTCTTATCGTCCCTAATCAAATCATCTCCCGACAAGTTTACTATAGGCTTCGACTCGAAAATGTGATCTGAAATCGACCCAATAATATGATCGCTAGGCCCAGTTTCGACCGATAAAGGCCCAATCTGGATTTTGTGGTCTTCAAAGCTTGAATCGTCGGCCCAAATCATGGGGCTTTTGCCAGTGATGCTACTATTTGTAGTGTTGGTGTATGGGTTGGGCCTTTTTCTGGTCAAGAAATTATTAGTACTGTTATTATCGAGTGACGATGATTTTTGCATGGTGACTCCGTATGTGTTGAGGTCATGGATGGATGGGAAACTTATGGCGGGCCCAACTTCACGGTTCATGACCGAGATATCGGGCCCGTGGGCTTTGTTGAAATCGGCCATTCCCTCGCCAGCAAGTGTTTGGCAGGCCTTCTCGAGGATTGTTTGCATGTATTTTCCGTGGGCCTCGATTCTGAGTTGAAGGTGTCTCTGAACCTGTTTTTACGGGATTATTTGATGTTTTATTCATAGGTGATTAAGTTATTAGGCCTTTGTTTGTGTACATATGTAAATATAGGTTACCTCGAGTTGCTCATGGAGCCTTCGGTTGACCTCCATTTGCATCCTAATTGCATCAGTTATGTGAACATTACTGGAAAATCAGATGCAATTCCACAAATGGAATAATCAACCCTCATAAATTATTTGAGAGGAGAAGAATCTTTGATGGGAATTCACATTATTAAAATTTCATTTATGTTTGGGCATAATATGGAAAAAAATTTATCACTTGTTCAAGCAATACTAATGTTAATTCTTGGGGTGTTGTTTGAAAAAAAAAAAAATTCTTAATAGTTCAAACTATAAGGTTTTGGCAGGAACATACTCGTTCATGCTAGGGCCGAGCATTCCGGATGCTGATGCATTCTTTCGTTGAAGCTCAAAAGGCGCTGCTACCAAAATTAATGAATCAATTTTTAGTATATATAAATAAGTATAAAGGAATTTCAAATCTTCTAAACATAACGGTACCTCTCTCACCATCTTTCATTGAATGGTCATTGAAATCTTTGTGCGGCTGCTTTCCAAGCCGAAATTTCTGAAATACAGAAACATTAAAACCAAATCGAATTAAAAGCCCTACTCCTAAAACACAAACATTTATAAAGATTTGTTAATAAAGACTTGAAATTTGTAGGAAACCTGAAGATGGCTCTTGAGATGGTAAAGGGTGAGACCCTTTACCCCCATAACTCTCATAATAGTCTTGGGCGTTGCCTCTACACAACCAAAAAGAAAAAAAAAAAGGAATTAATAAAAAAAGAAAAAGAAATGAAAAAGAAAGAAAAGGAGTCGAAATTAGAGATTAGATGCATATATACATACTGTCGGGGCCACCGAGTTGGGTGACGGCATCTACAAAGCGTTGGTGGAGCTCAACAGTCCATCTGAGGCGGGGTTTGGGGTCGGTGGTGAGGACAAGGCCGCCCGAGTCAGGCTGAACTACACACATATTGGGATGGCGATGAGAGGTACTATTCATCGTCATCATCATATCAACTGGCTTCTTGGCGGATGCTGTTTGGAACATAATTCTTACTGATTCTAATATTTGCTTTTTCTTGAGATTCAGGGACAATTGCGGTGCGCAGATGGGAGAGAATAGGGTGCGGATATCATATATCATATGTAGAGGTGCAAAAGAAAAAAATAAAAAATATAAAAAAGGATTTCTTTTATTGTTATTTTAATTTAAATCTTTAATAAAGGGCGTGTGCTGGGTAGGGCTGCAAACGAGCCGAGCCGAGTCGAGCATTCGCCTTATCGAGCAGGATTGGATTTTTTTTTTAGCTGCCCGAGCTCGAGCTCGTCGAGCTCGATTTATGAGGCTCGAGTTCGACTCGATAAGAAAATACAATAGCTCGATTATTCTGAACAGGTGTAATGGTTGTTATACGGCCGCATCCCAGATTCGATTGAGCCTAGGACCCTTTATTCTGTATGCTTAGCTATCGTGATATTGTGGAGCCGTACTTGCCTTTGTGTTTTTGCGTCAGCTGTGCCTTGTCGGATATCACTAAAATTCGATTTCCAAAATCGTACCAAACAATTATTTTGGAGATTTTTATTTTTCGGTTCGGTTTGGTTCGGTTTTTCCTAATTATTTTTAAAATCTTTTTTGAATGACCACCTTGTTATATTTTAATTTTTATATTTTTTTTTTCTAAATCCAATATTCATCAATACTTCCATCATACTAAAATTTTTATTTATAAATCAACTTTAGAAGTAACTCTGAATTTTAGTTAAGACTATATTTGTGCAACTAACATTTAAAATAATATTTCTTTAACCTTCCATTTCATACCATGTTAGTTATAAGCTAGAATAAGCCAAGTATCGACAAATTTAAGTAATGTTTAAATCTTTTTTAAAAAAATATTTCTTTAGTCTTTCATTCATTTTAAATATTTTTTTTAAAACATGAAAAAATCAATTTTAGATCAAGTATTACTAAACATGAAATTTAAGTAAAGCTTAATTGTTATAACTATATTTATTTGCATTTTAAAAATTCTCAAATTACATAGAGTTTTTCGGTTCGGTTCGGTTCGGAGAAAGTCAAACGGTCAACAGTTATTTTTTAGTTATGAGTTATTTCGGTTCGATTTTCGGAACGATTCAAAATTTTTTGAGTCTCATGTTCAGCCCTAGGTACAATCTTCTAAAAAAGATAATACAACATACATAATAACCATCTTTTTTTCTCGAAACGGAATAAATTCTTCCTTGGTTGAGAATTAAAGCAAAGATTCTTTTCTCTTAACTGTTTAAATTTCTGTATATATTAATAATCACTACCTGGTCGTTGTTGCTAAATACTTAATACGTAAAAATCTCTGGCTAATTAATCAAAACGATTTTATGCAACTTGTAACGCTTTACCAGAGCTTAATTAATATAATTTTATTAATATGGTAGGTTTATTTGTTGTATATAGAAGGTTGGCTCCACTATAGAGCCAACTGTTGGCTTCATAGCAAAACCGTAAATTAGTTTATACTTTATATCACTTGTGATCACGTGCCTATAATATTTATGTCTTTAGTGATTAACTAAACTAATTTTGATCTATTGACATGCACATAAATTAGTTTATACTTTATGTCTTTAGTGATTAACTAAACTAATTTTAATCTATTGACATGCACATAAATTTAAATTATTATAAATTATATACATATACATATAATATTAATATTGAAATTATAAATTAAAGAACTATCACATTTTAAAAATTTTATCATATGTAAAAATGTGATCTATGGACATGTGTGTAGAAGTTTAAATTATTATAAATTATATATATACATATAATATTAAAATTATAAATTAATTAATACTATCGCATTTTAAAAATTTATCATTAGTAAAAATGAACATTATAAAAGTATTTAGTTTTATCACTATATTGATTGCATAAAATAAAATGAATAATGTAGT